TTTTTTTTTTTTTTTTCTATTTGGAGGCAATTTTTTTCTTTTCCTGGTTTCTTTTTATTTTTTGCCCACTGTGCCCTCCCTACATTCAGGAGTACTTTTTCTTACTGGCTTTTCTAAAAACTATTCTTATGCTTTTATTTATTCTTCCCTTTTCACATTTATCTGATTCTGTTTTTTACCTTTTTCAGTATTGGGGAATCTTTTTGTTTTCTTATTTTGCTTTTAGAATCTCTTGCTCCAAAATATTCCTCTCCACTCACCTTGCTCTTTCTCTTTTCATTTATTTAATCTTGCTTCTCCTCTGCTCTCCCATTCCCCTGCTGTATCAGTTACTACCTTGCTGCTATGATAAAATACCTCACAAAAGCACCCGTGCTGGTTAGTTTTTGCCAAGTTGACACAAAGTAGAATCACCTGGGAAGAGGGAACCTCAACCAAAGAACTTCCCAGACCAGACTGGCCTGTGGCAATGTCTGTGGGGCTTTTCTTATGCTAGTTGATGTGGGCAGGGCCATCTCTGGTTGAGGGGGAGGTGTCTGTGCTCTACAAGGAAGGTAACTGAGCAAGCCAAGGGAGCAGCACTCCTTCATGGTCTCTGCTTCAGTTTCTGTTTCTGCCTTGAGTTCCTACTTTATCTTCCCTTGATGATGGGCTTTAACCTACAAGTTGAAATAAGGCCTTTCCTCCCTGAAGTTGCTTTTGGTCAGTGTTTTATCACAGCAACAGGAACCAAACTAGAACAGCAACTTGAGGAAAGAGGGGTTTATTTTGGTTCACAGTTTAAAAGTACAGTCCAGGGGCTGTAGAGATGGCTCAGTAGTTAAGAGCAGTTTGTTGCTCTTGCAGAGAATCTGGGTTTGGGGCCCAGCACCCACATGGCCACTTACAACTCCCTGTAACTCCTATTCCAGGGGATCTGACACCACTTTCTGGCCTCTGAGGGCACTAGGCACACACATAGTGCATATGCATATATGCAGGTACTCACAGATACACATAAAATAAATCTGTTTTCAAAATTAAAGTACAGTCCATCATGGTGGAGAAGGCATGGTAGAAGGGTCTTGAGACAGCTGGTTACATTGTATCCACAGTCAGGAAGTAGAGAGCAGTAAGTGTTGATATTTGGCTAGTATTTTCCATCTTATTGAGTCCAGGACCCCAACCCAGGAAATAGTGCTGCCCACAGTTAGACAAGTTTCCCCACCTCAGTGAACCTAATCTAGGTAATCCTTCACAGGCCTGCCCAGGGGTTTTTCTCCTAGGTGATTCTAGACCCAGTCAAGTTCATAATAGTAATCATCACACCTTCCTCCTTTCTTTATCTCATTCACTCGCAATTTTCACCCCAAAGAATTTTTAACTTCACGGCACATTCTAGAGTAGTTCTTCAGTATTTACTTAAATGGGCAGTGGTGCTGTATCAGTGAGCTGTAACTGATTTTAAATCTATTTCTGTATCTCCCATGTTGCTATTTCTATATCTTGATGTTGTTGCTGTTACAATAATTTCCTCCTCATCAGGTGGCATTTGGGATTATGCTGTCATGAATAAAATACTCCCGACTGGGAAGATGGTTTAGTAATTAAGAGTGCTTGCTCTTCCATAGGACCAAAGTTCAGTTCCAACACCCACATACACAACAACATGTAACTCCAGCTCCAGGAGATCCAACACCCTCTTCTGGCTTCCACAGGCACCTGTATTCATGTGCACATAACGAGAGAGAGAGAGAGAGACAGACAGACAGACAGACAGACAGAGAGACAGAGAGAGAGAGAGACAGAGAGGGAGGGAAATAATTATAAATCTTATTTTTTTCTTTTACTTTTTCAATTTCTTAGAGCTAGTTAAGTTTTAATGAAATCTTATGAAAAATGCCCCCTATGCTACAGTATTATAGCTGTTTCGAAGGACGTTAATGACTATAGCTATCTTTAAGGCTCATAACATGGCCTTACTGTTTCCAGATTTTTCTAAATCTCTGAAGATACACATTCTGATAATCAGATTAGTTAGCTGGCTAAAAATCTATTTTTTAAAAGGAATAGAATAAGATTTCCCCTGCTGTCCCCCAAATCCAGAAGAAATATCAAAACCCGCAGGTGCACAAATTGCAACATAGAAACACAAGAAATGTGAAAAAGCAAGACAATATGACTCATCCAAAATATCATAACTCCTCAAAGATATTAAATGTTAAAATGTCATGTGAAGGTTTCAAAAGTTTTCTGGTTAAAAATGGTCAATGACTGAGAAGAGAGGTGTCTCCGTAGTTAAGAGAGCATACTGCTCTTCCAGAGGGTATAAGTTCAGTTCCCAGCACCCACATCCAAGACCGTCTTCTGTCCTCTGTAGGTACCAACACACATGTCATACACACACACACACACACACACACACACACACATATACACACACACACAATAATTAAATATTTTTTTTGTAAAAAAAAAAAAGGTCAGTGTCGCTGCCGAAAGCGGTCCTTAGAGGGAATTTTATAGCTCTAAGTGCCTACATCAAAAAATCGGAAAGAACACAAATAAATGACTTAACATTGCAACCCAACACACTTGAAAAGCAACAACAAACGAAACCCAAACCCGGCAGAAAAGAAGAAATAACAAAAATCAGGGCAGAAATCAACGAAATTGAATCAAAGAAAACAATACAAAGACTCAACAATACCAAGAGCTG